TTCAGTAATCGCAGTGTTCTGGTTGAGCTCTAATGATGGTTCAGTATTTCGCTGTTTTCTTGGTTTTCCCTTTTTTTTGGCGGTTCACTGGGAACAACCACCTCACCTCAGCAACAAAACACCGCAAAGTTAAAAGATTTATGCGAGGTATGAAATAATAATTCTGTTTTAGCTGACATTTTTGGGTCTCGGGCAGTGGGTGGAAAAAAAAATCAAAAAAATGAAAAAACGCCTGCAACGGAGTTTACATTGGCAAAATAAAATTGCCAGCTTCGTCATAAGGCACGGTGGTCTTTCTGAGCTTTACGAATTATTATTGAGTTGATAAATAACGTAAACCTCAACTTTTCTGTTGTTAAGTCTGCGTTTCAAGATTTGCACCCAAGGCTGGTCTCACGGATTTGTTCTGATCTACCCAGTTTTAGACAATTTATTTTGCAGTTTCTCAATGACGGGTATCGATTGACGGCTGTGTCATGTCAATTGAATTGACAGTGGAGCGTTTCTTTTTTAGTGTTGCATTGTTTATAAAGGCAGGCAGCAAAATGAAACGCGGGGAGACTGACATTGCCAGAAATTAGGGACAAGATGGCGGTTGCGCGTGCGCACTAAGGCCACAATGGCTGCGAATTCGTATAAGAAAATGTATGGAGATAAGGAAACTTTTCCAAATATATCAATTATGAGCTCACGGGTGTTCGGTGCACGACTCGAAACATGTTAAGTGCTGTGTAACCTTCGCATCTGGGTTAAAAATAGCTAATTAGAAGTAGGTTTACTTACTTCCCGAAGTGGCCACTTTTATCTCTCGTTGTACGCTCCATTTCTCCATACATTGTCTTAAAATCTTGCGGAGGTCATGCGAAATACTCGTCCATTAGAGGATAAACCCTGCACTGAAGTAAATTTGCACGACTCGATATTACTTCTGCGATGGAAGATGTTTCCAAAACAGTCGTTAAAAGGACGATTTTTGCACTGGAAAATACTTCCAAAGGCGCGTTATTTCCCTCAGTTTTCCATCTGTAGTCCAGTAATGGACGCCATAGTTGCGAATGACACATTTCGGTCGGACAAAGCTTCACAACTCCAAACCTCACCGAATCGCCATTTTGTTTGTTGCTAAAACTCCAGAGATGCTTCACGGGATATAAACTAGGTTCCAGGCATTCAAAAATCCTCGATTAGCCTACCAGGCTTGGTTTTAAAAGAAAATTGTCACGAAAATGTCGCGAAAATGTCACGAAAGGTACATCCGCGTACTGTTTTGTTGCTATCAGCCGCTCGGCCGAGTATAAACCTAACATTTTCTTGCTAGGTGTTTTATTCCAGCTTTTTTCTTCGTAAAACGGATCCACAGAGCTCAAATTATTTAAAAAAATCGCAGGGGATACGCTTTCCCTGACTACGATCGTTTTTGTCCGCCATTTGGAAATGAGATTCCGCTGACAATTAATCACGGGCGCGAAATGTCCACGATTTCTGGCAATGGCTTCGTTTTGAAAAGGAATTCCTCTTTCCACTATAAACTATCTTCAAATATCCCTAGCTTTTAAGATGCTTTTGGTTTTAAAAATTTATCATTAATTTATCGTTATTATTATTAATATCATTGCTATTATTGTTATCGTTATTTTCATTATTATTATGGTTATCATTATCATTTGGTTATTAAATCATCTTCCTCCTCCTCATCATCATTAACATCACTATTTTTATTATCTTATTATTAACCTAGCAATCATTATCCTAGTCTGAAGAATTTGCTTTCGTCACTATAACCAAAGCTCCAACTATTACGTTATTCTGAAGCATTTACATTCCTTAGCCGAGTAACTTTTCTTCTTAAATCCTTGCATTTTTTCGACCTTTCCTTTTTCAATTTTAACCATTGGGGTAGCTCCCTGAGGGACCACTATAACAATTACAGCCATTGCGAGAAAGGTTGTCAGGAAAAGTGAACGCGACAATCCCAAAAGGTATTGTGGGTGGTTTTGAGTTCACTCTTCTTCAAAGAAATTTGAAAGAATCGCATGAGAGGACATGGACGTATGTTTGCGAGTGCTAAAGGAAAGCAACAAAAGTAGGCTCGACAGCTGCAGCGTCAGGAACAGTGTATTGATTATACCATATTATTATATTGAGTATCCCATATTACCTTTCGGGGTTGTCGCGTGCACAATTTTTCTGACAACCTTTTTCGAAATAGCTGTAGATGACACTATCCTTGCTTTTTATCTAAATACACTATGTTATGCCAACGATGTTCAATGCCGTGATCATCATCATCATCATCATCATCATCATAATCTTGATTACTATTATTATTTTATATTCTTCTTTTTTGCCAACGGGCAAGCCGAGCGAAGACGGTCGGCTTGCGAGGCGGCCAGCTTAATGCCACGCAAAATATTGAAGCAGGCAGAAAAATTCTCGATCGTGCTCTGAAAAGTGTAATGTAAGGCGTAAATTCCCTGGGGATTTTAGTGGCGTTAGATTTCACGTGTAGTTTTACGTGACTTTTGATGACCTTTGTTGTAAACAAACGAACCTTCAAAGTTCGGACGTTGTTCTCTGCCACACTACTGTACTTGTGCGAACTACCACTCGCTATTTCAAGTTCGCGCTATAAAACCTATAAATGTTATTTCCCTATTGCTGTTTGAAACTCGACAAGTTTAAGGTTCAAAAATGTCTAAGCAGAAGAATAAGAGCGATTTTAAGGCCAAGAGCATGGCAGAAATGTAGGAACGAGGAGTGCTTGTAGTGGAAATTCTCGCCTCAGCGGCTAAAATGGTTTTATAAACATTGGAACTAAAACCGGTGATGTAGGCAAATTCTTTTTCTTTCGTTGGCACTTATCGAAAGCTACAACCAGTTTTTAAATATAGATATATTTTGTTTTGCTTAGGGAGATAAATGGGAGTTCGCCAAATTGTTTGTCCCGGCCGCCTTCTTTATCAATACAAGTAGCCATACCAAACTAATCCTTGATATAAAATTCCTGCTTGGGTATTTATGAAAACTTCCGGTTTACATGGATTTTTATAGGTTGTCATGAATTTTGATTAAAACTTCCCGCCTTTCTTCACTACCTACTGAATATGTACGCTCTCATTCCCGCTTTGCCTCTAAGACATATTGCAATTACTCTCTAAATACATTACCTCCGTTCACTGCTATAGATGGTTTTCACTGTGACGTCATCAAATTGTAAAGTCAAAATAGCGAGGTTTTACGAATTCTTATCTACACTAGGTTGAAGATAAACAAAAAGTAAATTTTTTTACAAGTTTCCATTTCCGTAGCATGTTTCATTTCGAAAATGCAGCAATTTGAACTTCCGAGTTTTCATAGTGCGTGACACCAAAGTAGGAATGCTGTCTCGTTGAAAAAAAGTCTCTCCTCTTGATTTTCAGCAGTATATTACTTCAAGTATTAAAAGATATGTTTATGCGTATGTATGCTAGTTCTCGAGTGAAAAGAAATAGTTTTTACAGAACAAGTAAACTCTAGATGTTTTTGTTGATTTCCGGCGGCCATATTGGTACACCAAAACGGTTCGCCAATATGGGGTCTCCATACGAAGCTCTACAAAGGTGAGAGAAACGTTTCCGCAAATATCTCAGAAACTGTGGGCCACAAAGACCTGAGACTTGGAAAAATTGTTTGTATATTAGTCTTTTATAACATTTCATTTTCTTGGCTTCTTCTACTGGACGGTTTCCAATTTAATTTTTTGTTGCGTGACAGTGAAAATGATCTATAATAGGCTCTTTTCATGACTTGATCACGTGTTCAACTTTCGGTAAACACGAAAACACTTCACTTTTAAAAACTTTTGTTAGCACAAAGCTCAAAGAGCATATTAAAATTAGGTAACCTGAGCATTTTCAGTCTATGGCTCAAAAGTAGCGATTGTAACGGCCGCCGAAAGTTGGAAGCGTTTGTATGAGAAAACCAACTTTTACCATCCAGTCACGCTTGTATGGTTTTCCATACAAATCCTTGTAATTTCGAAATTTTCAAAACTTTCATGAAATATTTTCTTCAGCATTACAGGGCTCAAATCTCCTTTTAATTCATAACAGGTAATTTGAGCACTAAAAGCACACCTATGACCCCAACCTCATTATAGGGCCGTTTATACGAGAGAAAATAAGCCGGGCCGTTTATAGGAGAGAAGATAAGCCGCGGCTTACATAAGACGCGAACAGCTCGTATAAATGGTGCAAAATCTATGCTTGCGTTGTCCACGGCTTGCTGAAGCCGTGAACGACTGCTGCGCATGCTCTGTTGTCAATTATATCCCAGACCTTCACGGCCGAGAGACGCGCGTTGCAGTGGCGGGAAAATGAGTTTTGTTTACATTTACAATGTGGAAAATGGCGGATAGAGATTCATGTAAAAAAAGAAATGTGTGGAGTGCCCCAGAAGAAAAACAAATCCTGCTCATATGCAGCAAGCTTGAGTTTGCGGGGACATCTCGAGGAAACCACTCAACGGAATGCTGTCGAATCTTTCGTCGGGGTTTTCGCATAAGTTTCCCAATTTTCTTTGACCAATTAATTACCTGGGAACCCAACACCAATCTTGACCGAAGAGACAGTTTAAAATGAAAGACAGTGAAAAAACAGCGTTTTTTACGGGCCAAAGCCAGTCGTTTAGCTTTTCTGCTCGCCCAAGCCATTGTTGCGAGATGCAAACGCAATTACCCCTAAACGAGGCACCAAAACAAACTACGTCATCAGTGGACAGATCTGGCCGCGAACTAAGCTGTAAACCATTTATACGAGCAGTTCGCGTCTAATATAAGCCGTACTCGTATACACGTGAATGGTTCCTTTCGCGTCTTATGTAAGCCGCGGCTTATTTTCTCTCGTATAAACGACCCTATTGTCTCAGCCTTCATCCCAAATCAACTTTTCTCCAGCAGACATTGCTTTTTGTGTTATTTAGCATTATTAGAGTTGCAGACATTTTCGTGTTTTTATGTTTTTTTTTCCCAGGATTGTGCTTTTAACAAGTTGAAGTCGGATACAGCGCTTAAAGTCTCATTCCAGGGAAACATGAGGGTCTATGGTAATGCTAAGTGTAACCGATGGTATTTCAAGTTCAACGGAAACGAATGCAGTGGACCAATGACGATTGAGGCTGTTATTTACAATGGATGGCCTTCTGGGAACCCTAATCTGCTGCATCATAGGTCATTTGAGGGATACTGTGAAAACATTCCACAAGGGGCGGTTGGAGTAGAATTATGGGTAGGACAGTGTAATGGCCACACCTTGGGTAGTGCTGAAACTGGGTGGAATTCAGTGTCCCGGATAATGATAGAAGAAGTGACTAGTCCCCAGTCCTAACGGGAGTCTCCCTTCCTCGATTCCGGATGACGAAGTTTTTCTCTTTCGACTTTTCTAGAAAAATAAAACAACAATTCAAGTAGTTTATTTGCGCTAGACATGTTGAGGTAATTTACATGGCTCAGTTTTCGCGTGCTCAATAAGCTTCGCTTTTGTGCGTCGTTTTGACAAGATAGCATGAATTGTCATGCTATCACATCACACATTTCTTTGGCTGCCGTCAATCATAATTAACGAACCTTGAAATAGAGAAACACACAAAACGGATCGAAATCATCCAATCACAAATCAGAAACCATGACCTTTTGAACTTGTTAAAGTGAAGTTTTGTTTCCTAAGAGGTCCGTTAAGATGATTGACGACAGCGAAAAACGCAATCGTCAGTTGGCTTTTGAACTTCAGAATTCGCATGTTTGTGAAAAGCGCAGTAAAAAGAATAACGTTTAATCATGGATTTAATATGTAGGTTTTATAAGTAAAATGCAAAAATAGGTTTTCACAAGAGAGGATAAAGGGGACAGAGAAGGGATCCCCCGTACACACCCTATTCCATAGGTAATTCGTGTCGAGTTATTGTTAAGACCATAGATTCCAAGGGGGATCAGACAACAGCCAATCACATGGCGCGTTTGTGTTCCGCGTGTGGATGACCAACGCTCAAAGCCACGCGTCCTTCACGAATTGACGCAGAATAAAATGGCGGAAGACGCGGACAGCGATATTGCTATTTGTTTTGTCGACAAAAACGACTAAAGAGAGATTTCTGCTAAAGCTGTGTCAGCGAAACGGAAATTAAAAAAGAATCGCCCTTCCTCTCTTGTATAGAGCTAACAGTACAGCAGGGAAATCCTTAACACACTGAATATTCTTTCAGGATCATTTATAATTTACAGTTTGAAGAGAGCAATTTCTGGTTTGATATTTTTTATTCTTTTATTAGTCTTTTATTATTCAACAAAAATAACACTTGGCGTCCTACTTGCTTTATTATACAAATGACCGGTTTCAATAGACGGGCGAAATTTCTCATTTTATTTAAGCACTGAGGTTACGACAACTTCGAGTTAAACTGATTTCACGGGTTGTCAAAGAGTCCAGCGATTCTCTTTTCCCAGGTGAGCGCCGACTCATTTCGATTCAATATTCAGAAATGCTCTGGATCTCTTTACGCTTTCATTGCCTTTCGCCCGACATGTTTTGCACTGCGTTTAGTCATGCGAAACCTCCACGAAACATCCACGCAGCGCGCGAGGTAACTTTATACCGATTCTAAAAACAACTCGAGTCGAATTACCTATGGAATAGGGTGTGTATAGGAGATGCCTTCTCTGTCCCCTTTATCCTCTCTTGGTTTTAACTAAAGGTTCTGGTTCAGGTTGTTGGCGGTGAGCGCGCGTCTTCCAGTAGTCTCCTCTTATGTGAGAATGATATACATTGTTCTCTCTTTTTACATAACATGTTACTGAAACGTTTAAGTATACGCCATATGAAGGACACATGAAGGGTAGTAAACATTTATATACTCCGTAGCTACTCTAAGGCAATTTCAGTTACAGTGTTCCTGGCTCGCCTGCTTTGTATGACATGCATTGCAATTGATCTCACACTTAATGTCACAAGGTCACCTCTTTCATTCTCGGGTAAATTTGACGGTGTTATTCTTGTGTAGTTCTATATCAGCCAGTTATTGTAATGTTCAGGCCTTTAGAAGTATGGAAGCTTCTAAAGATATTTGAGTAAAGCCGTGAATATATTTAACAATGTTGACATGCATGCAGATTAATTATTTACCAGTAACGCCTACTCTTCGAAGCCGAAGGTCGATTTCAGCATTTTTGAAGAATTCCTTAAAAATTTCCTGAGAATTCACATTAGGAAAATCAACTTAAAGGAATCGGTTAAGAGATAATTCTCGTGAAATCCTAGCCTAGGGCTGTGTGGGGAAATTTCGCTGGGGTAAATGTTGCTTTTTTAGGGTAATTTTCGACGGTTTTGTATTCATTTTACGTCATGAATTTTTATGGTATTTCCACGGTGTTTTTGTTCTGTTTTTTTGCTCTTTCGACCGATTTTTGTACTGTTTTCAGACAACTCTAAGGCTATGATTTTTACACTGTTTTTGCATTTTTGCATCCTATTTTTGATGTACGTTTGTGGTATTTTTATACTATTTTCAAAGTACTTTCATTGTATTTGCAAATATGAGTATTTTACTTTTAAAAGTTCAAAACCAATTAAACATGCAGCTATTAAAATATATCTTGAAACATAACATTTTAATAGTGTTTTAAACAGGTTAAAACGCCTTTAAAATCAGTCGAAAAATATATTTGAAAAAAATAAACTTGTTTTTTTCACAAACGTTTATAATCGTCATTGAAAATAGTGTTAAAATAGTATTGCAAATTAAAATATGTCTTTTTTTAAATTTTTATCCTGTTTGTATTCCGATTTGAAAGGTATTTAAAAACTGTTTTAAACCTGTTTTGTCTTTTGCAAAAAACCCTGGAATTTTTTATATCTTTTAAACGAATTTTAATTAAAATACTTTAACAATTATTTTTTAATAGCGTTTTAAACAGGTTAAAACACCTTTAAAAGCAGTCGAAAAATACATTATAAATACACTTTTCACTCTATTTAAAACCTATTTCACAAAACAGGTTAAAAGCAGTTTTCAAAAATAGCTTGAAGATACATTCAAAACAGTGCTGGATTTGGTAAGGGTATGCATGAGAGGTTTAATGTAGTAATCTTCACTTAAACAATAATTCGAGTCTGATTATTCAAGAGAAATTGGTCGTTACTTGTATGTGATGAAGATTTTTATCCAATTTTCTCGCGTTCCTCTATATTTTTTTTAATTTTCCCTTCTTCTTAGTGTATTTTTTTGAATGTGCAAGGCCTTTAGCAAAAAGGTAAATTTTATGCACATGTTATCCCTTATACTTTCTATAGAACGTAACGAAATTCATGGAACATGCGCAAATGTGACAAAACTTACTCCAAATTTACAAAAAGCTTACAGATACGATCAAACAAATCTGATTCAGCATAGGGCTTCTTGGATTTTTGACCTGATCTTTTAATGCACAAATGCCGAAATCGTAAATACAAGAAATGTAAGCTAACTAGAAAAAATAGATCATCATCATAATAAATAAATAATAATGATAAAGATAATGGCAATAGGAAATTATTATTATGCCAAACAATTCCCCAAAATCCTTTGGTGCTTAATTTTTTTAAAAGAGTAGTTTTTATAACGTTGGCAATTTTATAGCTAGAGGAATGTCAGATAACATTTGCCATAATAACAAGATAACATTTGTCATAAAATATCTTTGACCCGAAATATGGTGAGGGATTCGGAAAAACACAAAATTTATTGACGGAATACGGAATTTGACCGTTACTGGAGAGGCGGATGTCTCAAAATCTCGACATGAGATGCAGAATTGGGGAAGAAAACGGTATTTGGGATAAAGATAATAGAAGATCCGGATGCGGGATTGTCATGAAAAAGGAGCGGGTCTGTGGGATCACTGGGGGATAACCCCCCTGCTTTTTGTCTACAATTTGATGATCAGTTACTCTGAGAAGAATAAAGACAATTATGCGAGAAAAATTCTTTTGATAAAAAGAAAAAGAAACCAGGGATAAAATTTAACCCTGTGTTAGCGCTAATCGGCCTGCGAACTGGGCTCTGCGGGTGTATAAATATCAGGTGGGGGGAGGGTTAACCTTTCGATGGACTAGCATTCAGTCCAGGGGGGAGTAGCAATTCTTCTAGGCATGCATCATGCTAAGAAAACTGGAATAAGCTCCGGTACCTAGTATCTGCCTTTCCCTTTTTTCCCTCGTTCGTATGGAAATCATGCTTGAAATTACTAGTTAGCACCAGAACAACATGATTTATATAATAAAGGAGGAACGGCTGTATTAAAACACGGTCAACTCCAGCCTCGTTTCCACCTGTAACTGTAAAATGGACTATCACTTAAGGCTGTGATTATTTAATATATCCTCCCATCTGGAAACAAGGTATAATAATTACACCAACAAAATAAAACAAAAACACTGGTCTAAAAATGATGAAATACCTAATTTTATTTTTCCGTAAAATACGTAAAAATCAATCTTTTTCCGGGAGCCTGCAATCCTTTTGGTCAGCACCAAGGATAACGAAGGCTCTTGGATAAGATTGCATGCGCAATAACACATAACAATATAAAATGTATCTGAAATCATAAGACTAAGCATCGATTGAATCTTTCTGTCAAAGTTTTGTACCAGGGCGTCATTAACACTATTTTTTCTCGTTTGTCTTTACTAGAGGAAATCCATAGATACTGAAGACATTGTAGCACCTTTTGCAAGAGATCCTAATGTTGCAGAACTATCAATGTTGAGAACACACAAAAACGGCGTTGAAGATGGAGGGTAACTAAACAAAATGAGAAAAACAATGCCCGCTAAAGACTTTCTATGTGGGAAGTTTATACATGCCATTCTACTGAAACTGAACAGAAAATCAAACGGGCGTTTTCAGAAACAAACGATTATAATGCGTGGTTTTATCTGCTTTAAACTCAAAATTTTTAGTGAAAAATATAATGTTACATTGCCAACGTTTTATCGTCTGACTTGAGCGTTCCCCCCCCCGCATGGGCAACGCAACTAGTTTATGTAATTGCTAAGTTATACTTAAAATCAAACACTCGCATAAGGGATTATGAGTTTCTGTTACAATGCAGTGCATAAATTTGCTCATGTTCTGTTTGAGCCAGAAGGATAAATAGAATCTGTCGTTAACACAAGTGCCGTGTCTTCTACATCAGAATCAGATTTTGATTCATTCATAGCGTTTGTCCTAAATTGTTGGCTGCCGTATCATGATATAATTGACTTTCACTAAAAGCCTGCAAGAATTCATTAAGTAAACTGGCCATTTGCGAGTTCCAAAAGCTTCACGTGACTAATATGTGAAGTGCATTTTTCGCCATTGTAGGATTGAGGTCCGACGTGAAACGACCTATAAAAGAGATTAGCAGCGCCGTATACGCTATGCTTCACCTCTCCATTATTAAGCCCGGTGAATACAATTACATGTAATGACATATTGTTGTATACATTCAACACAAATGAAACAACATTTTGTTAAAACAAAACAGTCTAACCGTCATGATCAACAATGCGATAACTTCTATAAATATCCTTGTTACCAATCTAGTCATAACATCATCAGTTTGGATTGATATAGTGACTTCTTATCGTTATATCAAGCTATATTATCATACCAGTTTTCATTTAATTTCATTACAACCAACTTATTATTACATTCATTTTCAAAACAATTGCCGAAATCGTGTTTATGAACGTTTTTTTCTCTCACGGAACGTGCACAAGCGGCAACCCTTTTAAACTGTTGAAAACTGTACTCACAATCCGTTACTAATGAAAGTTTTAATTACAGATTTCAACTTTTTGGGTCGTGAAAAAAAATCTTCGAGAATGTAAAACTTGAGCTCATTCTAACTTTTGATTTTTGAATAAATCCTCAAATGTAGTGAACTTAAAAGTTAGTTAAAAATACGTTTTCAGTCGCGCGATTTATTACGCCGCAGAATTTGTTCCTTGGTATTGGTCTCGTGAATAAAACCTTTACTAAGAGCGTTTTTACAGCTCAGACAGCGTTCTTTAAAAGATATCAATTAAGTTATACAGGGTACAGTTTTCAGACTGTGGATGAAATCTGTTAAATTATAATATTGTGGCATACGTTTAGTAGCTGAGTCAGGTTAAATGATGAAAGCTTGTCATCAGTAGTTTCTTCTGCTGCAGTTAAAACACACAGTAAATGCTTCGGCATGGTTGAAGATCGCTTCCGCGGAAGAAATGATCCGTGGCAAGATTTTCATGAAAGTTGTTGATAAAACTCCGTTGTGCCAATAGCTGTTTTCAAATGTTGCGTAAAAATACTCATTATCTTGTAAGTCGAGCTTGGCTTCTCAGCTTCTCAGAAGACTTGATGTTTGACCAAATCATTGTTCTTTGTACGCTCGCATCAGCAGAAATAAAAAGGATATGATACGGAATCCTATCATAAGAGCTATCATGATGTAAACGTCGAAAAGAAGATTATCCTGAAATGCGAAAGAAGGATGAATGTTTATCACTTTTTATTATATGGAGGAGAGTGTTTTACTGGGAACTAAACCACTCGTAGATTCCATACGCCACTTCATCCGGGACCCGAGTGGCATATTTTCCGTATGTCACCTTTGTGAGTGTCGTATCGTTCAATGACGTCACGATTCCCGCCTTTTGCTTTTGTTGAATTGGTTTCTCCATATAATAAAAAGAACATTACACGTTAGCTCGAAGATATGAATTTTATGTTCTCGTGGCAAGAACAATATCTCACTCGTTCGCTTCGCTCACTCGTGAGATATTGTTCTTGCCACTCGAACATAAAATTCATATCTTCTCGCCACCGTGTAATATCCTCTATATATATTACTTTATACAATACGCTTTATAACGCCACTAACAATGTAGTCAGATCTACAGGCAGAATCAGGAAAGCCATTGGGCCCTGACAAGTTAAAGTGGTTTGCGCATGTATCAAGATCAGCAGAGCCAATTTTACAAGGAACAGTGCAAGGAGGGAGAAGGAGGGGCTGACAAAAGAAGCGTTGGGAGAATAACATCTCTGAGCGGAGAGGGCTGAAGTTTTGCGACGCCCTAAGAGAGGCTGAGAGCAAAATCAAATGGAGGAAAAGGGATGCTAGGTCCGTGGCGCTCCAACAGTGACCATGAGCACGGGATAGGTGCAGGTGCATGGCCTTCTTTTGATGGAATGATACAGTAAAATCTGCAATTAAGTACCCGCGAGTTTCGGCAAAAAGCCAAGAACAGTTGAATGGTAGAACAAGGAATGGTCCTATTCTGTAAAATGCTTATTTGACTAAATTTCTACAATAGTTTCTTTTAAACTGCCGGCTGTTGCTAATTCATCGGTGCCTTTTACTCGCCCCTGCAAGGATTTCGCCTTCTGGGCGAAATCCCGAGGAGGCTCTCTAGTAGCTCGTGCGTAAATTAAGGAAAGTACTCTCAGTTGAAATATACAGTCAGTATGCAGGAAAAAAATCTCGATTTACTTGAACAGGGGCCGCATGGAATCGTTGGGTAATGATGACGTTTCTATTGTTTACGCCCGCAAGTCAGAGATGGTTACGATAACGTAAAACAGAAAATCCCGAAGGGACCGCCTAGGTAGATTTTGTGACATTTATTGTACAGTCATACTTCGATCACGTGTTAACAGTGACACTCTGTCGAGCAGCTGTTTTGAAAGTTAGGACCAAAAGACACGCAGATGAAGTTATAAGGTGCGTATAACTGTGCATATATAACCACTTGAAGAGTTTACCAGACACGAGTTCAAAAATCTTTGATCAGAAACAATTTGCCAGGCACCCTTTCTCTCTCTTTGGGGGAACAAGACTCAGTCCAAAGCAAGACGAATGAATGAATCAACGGCTAGTTTATCACTAGCAGAACGATGGACGATTAAAGAAATTTGCCGACAATTAAATTCTGTGCTGATTTATTCCTTTTTAGGGATCCAGTAAAGCTTAAGCCACACCCCTATAGATTTCCTTTAGGAGTTCATCAGCGAGTATCCCCAAATCTTCCATTTGAGAACTCCCTCCCCTGCGTTGGCTGAAAATGGGAAAGGTTCTGGCAATTGTTTTGGCTAAACAATTGGACAAAAGGTCCACGCACTAACACTTACCGCGTCAAAGCCCTGGAAGGCGATTGCAGCGTCACCATTTGGTATACAAAATGCCCCATTTCCTGCGGAAGTGCTGTTTGCGGGTGACAATGTGGGCGCTATAGTCGTTTCCGTTGTACACGCTACAACAGAGCAACACAATTATGAATTAAAAAAGATGCCCAAAAGGTTCATTTTTTCCGTGATTAGCTTTAGGATAACGGGAAGAAAATTTGGAAGAGTATTTATAGTGAGCGGGACGCGAGATTGGCGATTTTACGGTGCGGGGTTCTGAACAGGTTTTCCTAACAAAAAGGGAGCTAAAAATGATGACCTAACAGAAAATGCCAATATTTTCCTTGACTCCTTCACGTGCCTGTTTTGCTCCCTAAACTGGAGATTTTTTTATGAACACACTAGCTTATCGTTTACGATAATATCATAAATTATAGAGCGCATGCTCTGTTGGGAATGCTGCCGTATTTACATTCGAAAAAGATTCGAATACGCTAGGTGTGGACGCGTATTTTTCCGAAGAGGGGGCAAAAATGTCCGTTTTAAAAAGTATCCGGATGCGTGTGGACAGGACCTTAGAACTCGCTGAAGGTGTGGGCAAAGAGACTGCGAGGCAAAGAGACACTTGGATCCTGTCCATTTTACAACATGCTATATCTCGGAGGACAGGCATGATTGTTGTTTAAAGGTTAAATACTACTTACGTATCGACCCATAACCTTTCCATTGGTTTATGATTAGAGCTTCAAATCCGTACATGAACCATGATATGTACTTTAGCCAGATAAAATAAACAGGCACAGTTCTGTGTGGAAAAAAACAAATGCGAGATAAGATTTTTGTACCGGCGCTTGGAGCTATCTGGTATACTGTGTAGTATATGGCCTGAAAGTGGTTTAAGTTGTCACTTCCAGGAAAATATGCAAGGAGTGAAACGCTCTCTATTCAAGTTTAAAATGCAGATTGCTTTTCTTAGCATGGATAATTTGCTTTAAAAAAAAGACAAAGAAAAAGAAAAAACAAGTACTGTATCTCAAACTGATAGCAGGGTTCATACAAAAAATTGCTTTTAAGGACTTTACAAGGAATGGACTTCCACAGAGATGGTACATATAAACACCTTCCTAGCCCAAGCTTCTCTGAGCTATGATTTGTATTCTGTCTTGGACAGCCATAAAGCGTATAATAAACAACACAAAAACACTATCTCCGCATTATTATTTTACCGAAGAAGCCAACAAAGCATGGGACTCTGATTAAAAATACACGCAGCATGCACAGGAACACCAGGAGTTAGAACTTTGATCAATTTGCTTTGACTCAGTGATATTTTAACCTCACGGCACACTAGGATTACTTTGCTTCTCGAGATCTCTTTATTAGCTGCTTTTGCACCCAGGTTAACAGCGTTTAAAGTTGCTTATACTAGAGTCTACGCCAAGCAATTTTATGTCGATCCCAATACAATCAAATTTGAAATAAAAAATCAAGGACTTTTCAAGGACCCCCACCCTCCCTAAAATTCAAGGACTTTTAAAGAACGTGCCACCCCTAAACAGACACAACTGAGGGTTACAAGCGCGAGCCATTTGCATAGAAAATTGCTAAGCTTCAAACCGAGTTTGAATATCACGACAATTTCCAAGGACAGTTTCCCAATTAGTTGAAAACTGTTAAATTTTCGGACCGCGAATCCACCAAAAAATCGACTGGAGGATCCCGAATACAACGAGGATCGAAACAAGGAAAGGTCCCTCCTTTCCCCCCGAAATTTCGGAACAAACCAATGGAGATCGTTCCATGCAACTGTTGGGCATTTGAAAGCGGACGTTTCTTCGAATGGTAATGGGCGAGCCCGAATCCTAGTTTGCTTACGTGTTTTTGAGGAAAAATCCTCCAAAAATCAACAGAGGCAACATCAATGGAGGACCAAGGGATGTAGCTGCAGTGATGGTGGGCGCAATCGTTGAGATAATATAACCTAGGAAATAGGAAAAAAATCGCATCGCAACCAATGAGTGTAGGACATCAAAACAAAACTGAATGCGAGGCTAGTAATACCGCAAAGAGTTGATTTATTTGAGGACAATTTTACCGAATTGCCAGCCTTGTATTCAGTTTTGTTTTAATTCTCACTCCACGTGACGTCTGGCTTTAGCATCTCTGCATTAGAGATCCGGCATGAAGGAAACTGTCGGTTTTATTTACGCGTTGAGTGGACCTCTGCATTCAAGGGTTTTTACTGTGCATCATTTTCATTATAAGAGACTTTAAGCAAGTTGTTATGGCGACTTCTAATGCGGCGGCCGTGGATGCGGAGTCCTGGGGAGAATCCGTCACCGTAACCCGCAAAATTTCAATTTTAAACAAGCGGTACCCAAACAGTGGCTACGAGGTTTCTCCTTCATTTGCTTTCGCTGTTAGTAAAAGGCAAGGAAGACGTCAAATGCTTTTTTGATAAAGTGAAAAACAATATATGACGGGCTTTAAAAACCGTAACAGTCGAAAAAAAAAAACAAAGAAAACGGAGAAAAGTAGTAGTGGAGACTACGTCACAAGACAGATCCTCAAGTAGTAGGTTTTGACGGAACGGCGGAAGGTAATTTCTAAGCATGCGCACTGCGTCATTTTTGGTCGCCGTTGCCATTTACTTTAGGTCCCTATTATCTCTTGTTAGCCAAAATAATATGAAAGCCATTTTAGGAATGCCGTTCAGCGTAACAACATTTTTTGACTGAAGCCTTGCAGGTACGTTCTACCGTACTCAAAAATCAAAAAGCTCTTTCCAGCTAGTCATTCACGTGGTACAAAGAGTTCACATCATTTAAAATGATAATTTCCTTTGTTTGTCTGGTCCCAGTGCCACATTGCGTTGCAAAGTTTAATTATTTTCGCTGTCGTTTCTTGGTTTGACTGAGTGTCCGCCACGTATTGCTAAATTCTTTTCCTGCCATGTGGCAATTAGAGAGTTGAATCGAAATTTAACGCGATGTAATTTTCTCCCTGAAATCCAATTACAATTTTGAATGCTCAAATAGCAAATGTCAATTTTTTCGTACTAACGAACACACGAGCCAAAGGTCCAAACGGCCGGAGCTTATATCCTAGGAGTATTGCTACTCCCCTCTGGATGGATTGCTAGTCCATCGTAGGGTCCCCCCCACCCCAAGGAGTATGTATGTCGCCGGTACCCATTTATACACCTGGGTGAAGAGAGACAAAGTGGAGTGAAGGAAACAACACGACAGGCGAGGCTTGAACCGCGGACCACCGGATCCGGACTTCGAAGTGTTAGCAGCCAGGCCACACACGCTTCCAAAAAAAAGCTGAAAGGTGTGTTCTAAATCAGAAAGTTATCATCAAGGCAGTTAGAACCTACCAAAGGAGACAGCCACGTTTGTAACAAGACACATGATACCATAACACACAAGAAAATGGACAAAATCATTCCGCAAACCTGAAAAATAGTATCAAGTTGAATTTACTCAGATGAGTTACTGAGCATATGAGGACAAAGAACCTTGACAAAATAGTAACTATAAGCCATTTTGACGTTCAGAACTGAGGAAGACTGGGTCAAAGTTGGGCGTAAATGCATTGTGGGACTGTTTTGGGCGACGCTATCACCTTTTTCATTGGCTATTACGAAGGTTGTGCAGCAAACTTAGTTAACATTCGTTCTCCGAAACGCTGCTGCTGCTACTGCTACTGTTAATGCTACCGCTGCTGCTGCTACTGCTACTGCTACTGCTGCTGCTGCTGCTACTGCTACTACTACTACCACTACTATCACCACCACCACCACCACCAACCACCAGAATCCTTCAGACTAGATTTTTGCTTTTTTGTGCAAGTTAAGGCTTTTGTTATTTAACCCTCACTGTGGATTACCAAATTTAAATGTGAGAGAAAACAAGAAATGAATTCTGGTCTTAGTAGTAAAAAAAACGTCATCGCGAAAATGACTGACTGTGCCTCCTTAGTGCCCCTACCCAGACACAAAATACTCCTGTAGACTAGTACTGACCATAATAACTTTCTAGTTTCGCAGGTAAAGCGTTAAATCTTGCCTGGTTGGCGAAATTTTTTTCAAGTTTCAATCCACGTCCATCCTTGCTATCCGTAGCAACAGACGACAAGAAACAGTGTTAATGCCTAAATATAGTCTTCAATAACAACACTGGGCCGTTATTTTTTGATTTCAACTGTTGGAAAGACAGGTTTTAGCTTTTAAAAAAATAGCAAATAGCGTGATGTAGCCGCAGTCTCAAAATGGCAAATTTCAAAGCTTAAACTGTTCCTTCTAACAGTGTGCTTTTAATATTCACTCTGAGTGAAATCCTATCTATCACAGTCACTCCATCAAGTACAAAGCTCAACAGCAAAGAAAGAAGAGTGACTTACCAATCATCCAATAGGCAATGGTAATTAGGAATAACGGAGAGATTAGGAAGACTGGAATCTGTAGAAGAAACAATAGATAACAAAGTGAATGAAAATGATTATTTGTTGAAGCTTAACTGAAGAGCCATTAAATTATCGCGTACTGTTTTTTTTTTAACGTGGCAAAATTAGTGTTGTTAGCACTCATGGCCGTAAACACCAAAATCATTCCCAGGGTTCTTTCCCACTCGCTCCTACCGAGCCCCTAACTTACGCAGCAGTTCTTTGTGTTCTCAACGCTTCTGTCCACAAGACAACATGCGGATGAGGATAGGCAGTAAATCATATTGAGATCATTACGCGAGAGATTAGTCATTCGGTGTCGTGTCTTGGGGGATGAATTTTGACCAAGCTTCCTGTTCGAAATCGTAAGATCCGATAAAAGAAGAAAAACTTCCCACAATGCAATTCTACATAACAACGATCCAGTTTCTCACGCGTAACCTCAAATGGCCAATAGGAAGTCTGCACCGAGACATGTGACATGCTCAATGCCATTTCGAACAATATCAGCCGGCGACCTGAGCAAAAAATCAAGCCGTAAATATCTTATACACATCTTGTAACACAAGGGGTAAAATGCAATTCCAACCGTCTGTTTAAAAAAAGTTGGGAAATTAAATTCTAACCTCTGCTAACGTTTTTGCCAGATAATACACATCTGTTCTGTACATCCCGTTTTTATGTTCTCGCAAAAACACAGGGAGCTCAACGGGAAACACCTAAAAAGAAAAAAACAGAAGAAAACAAAAACAAAATGAACAAAAAAAAAAAAAAACCAGCCACGGTGGGGTTAGCTCAGTTAGTAGAGTGTTTGTTCAGTAGTGTTTTTCAGTGGATAGTACTATCCACTGGATAAAACGCTATCCAGCGGATACTGCAATTGGTTTCCCTAATACTTATTCATTAGATAGTGATTTATCCAACGTTTGGACAACCCAGGCCAGTTGTTCGAAGTTTGGATAGCGATAACGGGTTCGATCCCAGAGATTGGATCAATACTCAGGGTCTTAAAATAACTGGAGAGAAGTTACTAAAATCAATGAGAACGCAAAAGCACACTGAGAGGACTGAACACGACCGTTCCGTTACCGTTCGACCACCTAAAAATTCGCCTGGTGATATTCCACTTGGGGACTGGCTGAATTTAGTGCAAGCCCCTGGGTACCTTTCACTGGGAACTCACATTCCACTGCAGTTAATCCCTTTAAACTTCCATAATGGGCGTCCAAAGAATGACTTGAACATGGCATGCAAAAGTTAGTTACTTTGATTGCTCAATAACTCCTCATTCATTCGAAAGTTCGTTTCAGAAAATGGCCGTCTGAGGAACGAGCGCAGAAATTCCATACTAAAGACGTGCCACCACCCAGACCTGCAATGCACTACCAAGAGCAGGGTCAGCGGTTTTTTTTTTTTTTAAAGCTAGGGACAAAGACCAAATTCGTTTAAACATTGTTTTGGATATTGTTTACAAATAAAGGCAAAGTCAGAAGTGTATAAATGTGAGCGTCAACAGTTATCCCTGTTGCCCACATTCAGTGACGAGAAGTCGAGCCGCTTGTCTCAAAACGTGAGCTTTTATCACAATTTCATTCATTTCTCACAAAATTCTGTTTAAATCCCCGTAAATCCCCCACCCAGAATCAAGGTTGGTTGTAGTTAAAGAAAGACTTGAAGGTTAAAATACAACATTGGTTGTGGGGGGAGGGAGTGGAGGTACACAGGGAAGGGGATAAATATTTCCACTAGGCAAAAGGGGGGCCATCAAAGTGTCTCTCAACACTTTTGTCCCTCGCTCATTGCTGATACTTACAAAAATGACACCTTGGAGGCTTGTAAAGGATGCAGAAGTCACAAGAAAGAAATAAACACCGCTGATGTTTTGGATGCCATCTTGATCGTAGGGAATTTGCAAGTAAATCAAGCCAGCAATTAATCCCGTTATCTAGAAGGGAAAACAAGGAGGAGAGGAAATAATGTCAAGATAATGTAACTCCAAGAAACTTAAAGGATTGCAAACGGTCCTGCAGTTTCCCCAGCAAATTAAGCGAGAGAACGAGATCGAAAGAGGACTATTGTTATACTATCAGTCTTCTTGGTACGGACCGAATTTGATCGTTATTTTGAAAGAAAAAAATAGGTTGTTTGGTTTCAGGTTAGCTTAAAGCGTACCCCCGGCATCTGTTTTTATGTACTTGCTTCTACCTTTCAATAATTTTTTTTTTATTTAATATCCGAGTAAAAATATATATATACATATCTAAAATAAAAATAATAATTACAAACTTATCGAACGACTGACGTCGCGCAAAGACAGGGCTGCTTTGGCAGTGAGGTGATCGAGAAAATGGGCTTCATTTACTATTGCTTAAATCGCGATTATTACTGCGATGGTCATAACTTCATTAAGATTAATTTTGTATTTTCCACAGTGCTCGCCACCTGTTCTTACCAGCCCTTTTCTCATCCTAAACACAACTCATGGCAGTTTCCTAATTTATTTAATATGTATGTATTCTTGGCACGTATGTACACTGCTAAATACTTACAACGGCCTGCATGACTCTTATCCTGAAGACAATAACGTCACGCTTGTTAACGATCCATGAACGCCACAACAACGCCATAAGCTGTCGACACCAAGACGCTTTGTAGCTGCAAAAAATATATCTTGCTTCATATCTCTAAACTGACCATTTTCACCAATATCGCATAATGCACTTTGACCAAGAAGTATGGTTTCTGACCTCCTTTGATTGTGTACTAGAGCATTCTGGGTCAGGTAAAGGGTAAGGTTTTCTGTCTTCCAAGGGGCTTAGGAATTGGGTATACTTTTTCAACATCCATTACTTAAAAACAGCTGTTTGGTTCTGAGATATGGTAGGAAATCACATATTTTGCTCTGAAAGAAGTCGACCATTTCAGGAATCGTGCTGCACTGCATCACCCAAATTCTTACAGGGTTACCCCCCCGCCCCCCTCTACCTCCGTTGTCACTAGTTCGACTAATCCGACGTAACGAAGACGACAACGAAAACATTAGAAAAGCGGTAGTTGGACTATAAAATGTGATGCTGTAACAAAATATACTTACGGCGAGCGTTTCTTAAACAAGACATCTGCTTGAAATGAGTCCTAAGATGAAAGAAATGAAACTTGCCATTCAGTATAGCCTGCGAGCAAGCTCAAACGAGAGAACGCGAGAGAATACTCGCGTCTCCTTTCAAGTCCGGCTCTCGCGTGACTTCTCGCGAATGCCCCAAATTAAGAGCTTGCTTGCACGCTAAATTCAGCACACTAGACAATCAAACCAGCGTGCCGTCATATAAACTAAGGAGAACTAGACAACTGACCCGCAAAAAAAAACGCAAAACAGATGTGTGTTCAGCAAATTCACCTTTTGTGCTCTAATTTCCACACATTTATTAGATGTCAGAAAATTATGGCAATTTTCATGCGCTCGATTGAGTCCTTTAAGTCGCTGATAAAGTCAATAAACACACATAATCGAATAAAAGGGTAAAAATGAAGGTTCTTTTAGTTTACGTCGATAAATCGTCACCGACTCATAAAATTGACAAACCTGAGTCGACGGTGGACTCATTTCAACATTGTCAAAGAGAATGGTTGAAAGATTAAAATTACCGTAACATAGCCGTTTTAAAGTAAAGTAACGGTATTCAAAACGTAATTTGTTCACCAACCTGCCGTTCAATACCTCGGTCACCACTCTTGTAGCCACTCTCTTCTTTGGACCTTTCTGCTTCAAGTTCACTGTACACATCACAGATTTCCTACCATATCGTAATCAAACACGATTAATTGTTGTTTCATGTCTTAACTATAACCTTAATAACAGAAGGACGTGACCCTAGAGCAAGACGACTTTAATACAATAATACGTACGTGTCTTTATTTCAAGACTGTAACGGAGGCAGGGTGGCCCAGTGGCCAGAGCGCTGGACTTGTAATTTGAGGGCCCCGAGTTCAAGTCCGGCCGTGACAGCTGGATTTGTTCTGGGTAGTCCCGAGTTCAAAGCCGCCTCAGCTCTTGGTTTCGGAAAATAACTGATCTGCTCACCACTACAAAACACGATATTATGCTCAACCTCGTCTAATAATAATCGTTAGATGTCACGATTTAAAAGTCTAAATTTCGTCCTTCTTCTGATAATGTAATTATTTGGTTTTTTGTAAATTCTTTGGATCAATGTGTACAACTACAGAAAGATCTACAGAGAATGGAAAAATGAGAGAACGGCTGAAAAATGGAATTCATTATTGCCAAACACAATATCCTAAGAACTAAAAGATGAAATGTGTCCTTTATTTTCAATTACACACTTCACGGCTGCTGCCTTGAGGCAATAGATACTACCAAGAATCTAGGAGTATATCATTCCAAAGATCTTAGGTGGAACGATCATGCGAGAAACATCACATACAAAGCAAATACTGAAAACACTGCGTTTCCTCAAGTTTCCCAAACGAAATCTAACTTGAACACTGCTCATCAGCTACAACCACGAAGAAGATTGCTTACAAACCTCTAGTGCGGCCTACAGTTGAATACTGCTGATCATTGTGGGACTAGTGTTTTAAAGCCAAAATCATTGCACAAGTTGAAATGGTTCAGAGGAGAGAAGTTGAAACGTTTTCCCCTAGTTACTTGTTATTTTTTAATAGCTAGTACAGTCCTTTATATTCATCATTGAATTTTGAACTGCACAGTTAAATGAATCTTTATGAGTATTCTAACACGGTAATACCATGTTCTGTCTCAATTTCTTTATAGTGATACAAAGGACGTCAAAACTGCCAACTTGATCATGAACCGACGTCACAAGTACCACGTGGATCGGATCACGAATACAAGTGCCACGTTGATTGTGGACCCACGTGACAAGTGCCACGTGGATTATGAGCCCACGTAATAAGTGCCACGTGGATTATAAGCCCACGTCATAAGTGCCACGTGGATTATGAGCCCACGTCACAAACGCCACGTTGATGCTGGAATCACGTGGTATTCTTTCTTAGGCGCCGTTTACACGGGCGATTTTATCGGCGATTTTTTGTAAAAAGCGGTGTTTTTGAACAGCGTTTTTATCAATAAGCAAACATTGTGTACAATTATTGTATTTGTGCCGCTTAAAAATAGCTGGAGGAAATTGTTATTTCAGGCGAAACTAATGAATGTTGCAAAAAACTTCCCACAGTCATCAACAAAATAGCAAAAAAACTTCGCGGACAGTTTTAAAACGCGAGGTTTGGGTTGCAACCAGGTCACCTCGACGAATGTTCCGTTGAAGTCCTAAGCAATGAGAGAACAAACAGCTATTTCGAGAAAGGTTGTCGGAAAAAGTGCACGCGGCAATCCCGAAAGATATTGTGGGTGGTTTTTAATTCACTGTTTTTCAAAGAAATTTCAAACAATGGCAAGAGAGGCCATGGACGTATGTTTGCGGGTGCTAAAGGAAAGCAATAAAACTAGGTTCGACAGCTACAGTGTCAGGAAAAGTGTATTGATCATATCCCATATTACCTTTCGGGATTGTCGCGTGCACAGTTTTTCAGACCACCTTTCTAGAAATAGCTGTATACGAACAATTGACAGTAGTCCTGATGGTTCATACGTAAAGAACACTTCTTACTTTGACTCTATCCCTGCACTGTTCCTCCTCTCCTGGTACGATGGCCAAAGTTTGAACGAAATAATCTGCAGGGTTATAGTTCATCGGGCATGGATATCCGAGTCTGAAAGAGATACAAAAAGAAAGTTACGTTATATTCATGGATCGTACAAATTTACGGACAGTAAAGTAAAGATGTGAGGAAAAGGGCTGACAAACTTTAATTCTGTCAAAATTAGAACTATCCTGTGTTAGATTTCTAAAGTTTTACTCATTGCACTACATTTTTGTTAATACACATAGGACCTCAAAGTCTCTTTTTGATTTTTAGTTGCAACATTTTTCTTAAGGGTGTGCTATTTGACCCCGAACGTAAGTCTAAAAAGAAAATAACAACCATGACCTTTCAAAGTGTGGTACTGCTTCAGCTGTTGTTCCCATGTATGCTGTCCTTCCTTCAGCTAGGAATAAAACACTACAGACGAAAAATAATTATTGATTACTTTAAAGTTGTAATCCTCTTCCTTGTTTTCGTTCATGGCGAGAGAAAATAGAGAGCTTGAGATTCTGAGACGAGGGCGACAACGAGTACGAGATTTTCTCGATACTAATTAGTGCTCGCGCGTGAACCTGCGTCATTTTGGCGGGAAAACGTGGTAGCCGTCGTCAATCTACTACAGTTTAACGAGAATGTCGTAGTGGCGGAAACAAGTTATTAAATGTAAGAAGTTATATCATTTTGCTATCGCGAAAGGGCTTAACTTCCTTCAGTATAAATAACCGTACTAACTTTTGAGGTGAAAAAAAAGTAAAATGAAGCTTTACCAGGTGTCTTCTATAGAACACGCGCAAAAGTTAAATCTCGCACTCGTACTCCTTCTCGTCCTCAAATCTAAAGCTCTCTAATAATGGGACAGAGACAGTAAAACCCAGACCAGCCCTTGGGATATGTGAATTTCACCAAAATGATTTTTAGACCAATTATACTCTCGAATTAATGGGAAGTTGGTTTCCCGAGAGGCTAACGCTTTATAAAACAGACTAAAAAAGAGGGATAGTAAGTATCGAACTCACTCCCTTCAGCTCCGAAGGTCACGCGTTACTGTACGTACGAGAACAATAGAAATGACCTTACCACCATTCATTCTTACACCGACGATAGCATAAACCTTTCTGGCCATAAGGTCAGGTAGCTCAAAAATAAAAAGCGTTCAACATCTAAAGTCCAGAATCTGGAAAACGATAGGAGGTAAATGCGCCAAGATTCCGGTCCGTGCAATTTTTCAGATATTCGGGAAAATGATTTACCCCACATTTATAGAGCTTTGTGTGGCGATCCCACGATGGTACCCATCCGGAAGGGCACCAAAATGGCGGCTGGAAACCAGCACAAACATCCGAGTCTGTCACTGAGCTTTGCTAAGGAAGCGTAAATTCATCTTTCGAGGAAGTCATAGACACATTAAAGAAATAGTTTTTCAAATACAATGGCTTTTTAGATAGCAAAATCCTACAGTAAATGACACAAAGCTCTCTTGCCCGTCTCTGCCCGCGCCATGTAAATGCCGCGTCACGGCAGAGCTTAGAAATGCAAGCGAACTCATCACAAAAAGAAGAACTCTTTCGAAGTGAAAATTTTTATTAATATTAGTTTTTAGCTGCTCTAGATTACATCAAAGTTAAAAACTCAGGGGGGTTTATAATTCTTTAGTTTAAATTCTCAATGTGAAAACCAGCAATTGGAATCTTGACCGTACTTTATTAAACCGTTAATACTACGTGTACTAGAAATGAGGAAATACAATTCACCTGTCAAACATGGCGTAGACCTCAGATGAGGGTTGATGTATAGTACACATGATGGTTCGACCTGAAGCAGCTAAACGTTGAAGAGACCCTATTAAACTCTGAGCCATGTACGAATCAAGACCAGACGTGGGTTCATCAGCGAACAGCACTAGAGGGTTGGTAAGAACCTGGAGAATGTTATCAACATAGAAAATTTGCAGCGACCTGTAGATAGATCTTTTCACGGCATTTTATTTTTTATCTATTGACATGAACAAGTTAGGGAAAATCCGTCGACACTACTTAACCCTTTCACTGCCAGTGTTTGAGGGGGTTTTGTAAGGTGACTCTAACTTTTGAGTCCATGGACAAAATCCTGAGATGTGATCAATCAAATGAAAGCTGTCTGCCTTTACTTTCACATCAGGCCATTTGTTTCTCAAAATTTTAGAAAATGAAATTTGGAACTTTGGTCGAAATTTGCCTTTGGCCACATTTGGCAGTGAAGGGTTAAAAGAGCGCTTTAAGATTAGTAAAATTGCCAAGTTTGAAAGTGATTTGTTGAAAACTGACGAAGATATAGCTCCTCAAAGTCGCCAAATTTTACAGACTTTGACGAGCTACATCTTTGCTCGCTTAAGACGTATCACTTTTAAAATTTGGCAGTTTTACTAATATCATGGCGCACTTTCCAGTGGAGTCGACGGATTTTCCCTAACTTGTCCATGTCAAAAGTTGAAAATTAAAAACCATGAAGAGGTCTATTCTAAGACAAGAACAACTACTAGGGCAGGAGTTTCTCAATACCAAGTAGTGAGCGCATGTGAACCAGCCTCATGTTGGCGGGAAAACGTGATAGCCGTCGTCATTCTGCTACAGATTTTTAAATTAGAGAGCTTTAGATTCTAAGATGAAGACGAGTACGAGCACGAGATTTTCTCAAAACCAAGTAGAGAGATGCGCACACGTGAACCAGCCTCATGTTGGCGGGAAAACGTGATAGCTGTCGTCATTCTACTACGAGTTTTAGCGAGAACCTAATGTCGTAGTGGCGGAAAGAAGTTATCAAATGTTAGAAGTTTTATCATTTTGGATCGGGCGAGGGCTTAACCTCCTTTAATAAAGATAAAAGTGCTAAGTTTTTGGGGAAAAAAAAGTACAATGACGCTTTTCGAGGAATCTCTTTTTTATTTGAGGGTACGCGAAAAAACTTTAAGTAGTCAAATCTTGTACACGTAGTCATTCTCGTCCTCGAATCTCAAAGGTATCTTTAATATGTCGTAAGTAGTGAGGGAAACTAGTTTTCAAACGTTTTAAAGTTTTATCGCTGAGATCGACGAGAGACCTCAATCTCCTTCAATAAAAATGCCGTGCCAACTTTTCGGGTGAAAAAAAAAAACGTTTTCCTTTAGATTCTGAAAGGGCAACTACGAGGACCCACCTCTGACGCAAACGCCAATCTTTTCTTTTCTCCTCCTGAAATTCCCCTCAGTCGCCCTGGAATCCCAATGACTGTATCTGCACATTTCTTTAGGCCAAGCTGAAATACAGTAAGGGGAATATTTACCTAAAAGCAGAATTGATGAACAACGGAAAATTCGAGTTTTTTCAGCAGATATCCATGTAACTGTGCATACATGTATGATTTATGTTTGACAAAAGCAGAATGGCGATGACTTTTTAATACTTGCGCTTCACAACAAAAATCATCAACAGATCAATAAATTGTGAGTAAATCGTTTTAAATTATTAAACGATAAAGAGACGATACAATTAAATACAAGATAACCAGGCGGTGTGCGCACTACGATTGCGATGCATTGTGGATTCAAAATTTTCAAGATGGCGGCGAAGGTCGAGAAATTTCGCAGGTTATATGCTTTATTTTTCAATAGATACAGTTCTTTCCTTAGATCGTTTTTCTCGATTTCATAAGCTAATATTTGGTTAGATTTTTTCTGTGAAGAACAACAAATCAATACTATTCATTTCAATCTAAAACGTGGAGCCCGAAGTTTCCTCCTGTAAGAGCATGAAATTTGAACCCGGTTTTTAAGAAGCTATAATTTCCATTATATAGCCCGTCGAAAGTAGAAGATAGTTGTAAGTGTTTCTACAAACCTTGTTCTACGCTAATTTTTTTATCGCTCCCCAACGCGCCCCACGTTTTGTGATACTTTTTCCGAATTGAAACCGGCATGTTTTCATGGGAAAATGTAGCCTCGCGAAGACCAATGTGACATGTTAGTGGAAGTGTTACTGTTGTAATCACAAGCTGATCACAAAATAGCGGGGCAGCGGCGACTGGTTCCTTCAAACAATAGCATTAGGTGAGCGTAAAATGTTCGAAATTGGTATATAAGTAGGCTGATGAGCACTCTGATGTAGGAATGTCTGTTTTTGTAATAGGACTAAAAAAAGCATAATAAAATTGTAGTCATACATTTGATTCCCTTTATGCAGGTTTTAAATCAGTAGAATAAGAATTACAGGTATTAAATTAAATGATAAGTTTGATTATACAGTTAAGCCCTGTGCATTTTGAAACCAGCCATCCTTTATATGGTTTTTGGGAGAATTGCAAGAATAGGGCAGTGTAGAAGAAGAGCTTCATAACATCCACCAAGCTTGCACTTTACTTTTATTCAGAGAAATATGCACATCACTCTTGAGAAAAGAAAACCATGACCTACTTTCAAGTTTGTTGTGTGTTGTTGTGTGGATGTTATGACTTTGTCAGTTTCTTGCCTAGTCCCTGTTTTATTCAGTGATGATTAGCCTCTGTAGCAGGCCTTTAAAAGGAAAGGGAAAGGGGTTTTGCGTACAAGAGAAATGCGAAGACTGCACGAGGAAGGAGGGAGTGATTTCAACATTCACCTGGTTGATGTTTATAATGCAAAAAACAATTCGTCTCCTGTATGGCAGGCATTTCGCTCCCTCCTTCCCTCACATTTCTCTTGCACCAAGACCCACTTTCCCTTTTCTTTGAAATGCCTGCCACACAGGCTAAGTGATGTCATTCAATCTGTTTACCCGTTTACACTGTTTAATATATATCAAGCAATAATATTATTTGCATATTTTGGTGGCTTTAGTTAAAATATAAATTGCTTGATCATTGAATGTACTTTTGATATTGGAAAACCAAGGCTGAAAAGATGGTGACAGGGAAAGGAAATAGAAAAAGTGGAACAATGGGGCAGTAAAAATGATGAGACTAGGAACCTGAATTAACTAAGTAAGCCTAAACAGATTCTTATATAAATAGTAGTTAGCACAAGTTTAGGCTATTTAGGTTTTTAAATGGATTCATATTTTCTGAAGAAAAAATGTAGCCAAGAGTATTTGTGTTTCACCTCATTCCTCATATAAAGTCTGCATACCAAATTAGAAGTTATGTGAGAATGGACATAAAAAGAGGAATGTATTTAAATTTAAACATTGGCATTTACATCGCGGTTCGAATGATAAGACAGCTTTGTATCCAAAGAAGATTCTAAATGTTGATTTATCTCTGCTTAAGTATACAGAATTTTTTCATAGATTTCAAAAATAAGAACCTGTTTCAAATTCTAGGCGAAACAGGTTTTTATATAGAGGGGGCTCATCTGGCATATTTAAGCCTAACAGGTTCTTAAAATTCAGGTTCTAATAGTCAGGGGGTTTTACTGTACTACTAGGATCCACCTCTGCAATAACTGGTAACCCAAAAGCCCTCTTTACAGACAACCGCTTCATACAGACACCTGATCAAGGCTGTGCTCTAGCAGAGCCCTGTGGCCCCTAGCACCTAACTTTTGCTTTTGTGACTAGAAAATCTCAGACTTTTCATACAAATCATATCCTGGGCAGCCTAGATTTTACAGGTTCAGAGAACTGGGCTCCTTTCAATGTTCCTTAGACCACAGCCTTGCTCATCATTACAGACAGCTTGCTTTGTTCCCTGGAAAAAAGCCTTAAATTTTCTCTAAATTAAGATGGACAATTTCTACGGTCCCCTCAGTGTCTGCATAACAGAGTTGACTGTGAGTATGATGAGACCTATGACACCATATTTAAATTATAAAATTGGGGTGAGGAGAAAGGAAAGGGGTCTCAAGCTATGTTGCCCCAGCCCTGATTACAGGAGATTTGTAAACATGTATGAATTTCACATTTTGAAGAGTTTTTATAATCCAAAAAATATGTGATAACATGTGTTTGTACATACTGACACAATCATTAAACAAATAGTGGCTGAAGCTTTTAAAATCTATTGACTGCATGAGGCTTTGTAATCACAAATATGCCATTTTCAGTTTCAATCCAGTTGTAAGACATTCTATGAGTCATACCAATAGAAAATATATGGGCAAATAAAGATGCTCAATATTATATTATTTATAAAGAGGACACAAGTTCATTGTACACAAATGCTCTCTAGCTACTTTATTTACTTGTCTTCATGTGATGATAAATACAGATGTTAAGCAAAACGAAATGCAGACTTCCTGCCAACAGAGAAACAAGTCCTTGAAAAGATGACCCCCTCAACTTCGATTCTCTTATTACAGCTAGCAAGTGAACATCTTGCAATGCTGAATGACAGAACAAAATAAGCTCACTGTGTTTAAATACCGCGGCCGGGTATTCTGAAGAAGCTCCTAGTATTTTATGAGTATATCACAGCTATGCATATCAGTACCTCTTAGCACTAGTTGCACTGATTTCACGGTGAATTCAAAATTTTCGGCGAACCACGGGTCTTACCTCCACTGCTTTTCATGATTGAGGCATTGAACAAAGTGTTTCTGTGCCGACTTTTCTCGGTCGGTTGCAAACAGGATGCAAGTGATTACGAACAAAATACACCAGAATACACTTACTGGTATCAACGGATTGACCCTGTTTTTTCCCTGAGAATTGGACAGACTTTCTTTTTCAAGAGCTTCCGGAAGAGATTCAAAGCAAAATCGTATACATCTACAGCGTAATTAACGAATATTCACTCCGCAGTCAAGATGTTCACTCCACGCCATCTTGACACAAATGATCAGATTTTGAATACCGCCCATGATGCTTAGCGATCGTAGTGCGCACACCACCTGCAAGATAACATAGCCTGTGCCAGGCTCTCAGCTAGTATAGCGGGGACATATTTAAAATGAGCAAAGCGCAAATAAGACGCGCGCGATATGGGAAAGGGGGCAGTGGCAGCGGGAAAAATGGAAGAGGGCGCTCCACTGCCCTGTCTCTCCCCAGCTCCCCGCGCGTTTTTTGGCATCTCTTTACACTGAACGACTGCACCACTATCTTTGAGCCTGGAACAGGCTAAATATATCATAGGCCGCAGGTGTGACATTCCAACCTACAGAGCTAAGGAATATGGTGGCTTGAGCCGGTGTTTCTGCATGTAGAACATTAATATGTTTATTGTTTATTGTTTATTGTTTTGTTTGCCAAAAATTAAACAAATCAAATAAAATCTAATTACCTTAACTCTCATGGCGAGGAAGCCCAAGAGAAGCCACCGGGCTTATGAGGAATGGGCTCCCTCAGTTAGATAATTAGAACAAAATATTATCATAATTACACACGGGAAAATCAATATTAGATAGTCGTACTAATCATAGTTCTAGGCTAAAAAAAGCGAAATGACAAAAAGAAAAAAAACAAAACAAAACAAAACAAAATAAAAGAGCAAAGGAAGAAAAAAAAATACATATATATGTATGTATATATAAATTACTATTTATATTAATATGTATTTTCAAACTTATGCAACTAATATAAAATCACAGTCAGTATGATTCGAAGAGGACAGACAGCAAATTGTTGACACCGAAAATAACTGCTCATCAGTAAGATTCTTTTTATATTTGCAGTTCCAAAATTACAGGACTTTGTAAATTAATTGTAGAAGGAGGACTTTGAGGCACCCACAATGTAGGCACATTTATAAAAAAGCCAAATGAGTAAGGAAAAAAACACGCATTTAGTAAATGCAAGGCGTTTAATAAAGAACTTATAATCAATCTATAACAATTTTATTGTCAATGAGTTCACACCTCAAGCATAACCTCCTCCACTCGTTCCATTCTTTTTTTCTTTGGCGTGTGTTTATCCATACGAAGTAAAGCCTGCAAAAATAACATGTTAACATAACAGTTGCAGAATTATATATTATACATTTGTCAACAAGAAAAGAAGAAAGGGAGAACTCTGCAAATCATGGTGTGTGTGTAAAAAGGTTCGGTTAAAGCCCTTTCAGTCTTAAGAGCGACAAACATCAATTATCTCCTAAGAAAGCCAATATCAATGCACAATCAATAGAAAAGGTTGTAAGAAAAGAGAAAAACTTTTGATCAAATATCAGTTAAGAGGTTTTCTCAATTATATTGCCAAGTGTCCCCAATTGGTAGAGGGGTACCCTTGGCAAGCTTCTTTGACAAGTTAATAAACTTCTTGATTGATCAATTGATTGGCTGAATTAACAAAAATAACCATCCAAGGGAAAATGATACTTTTTTATCAAGTAAATAAATGAGGAAAGTCCAGTCCTGAGTTCTCATGAAATATTCTACCGGTTAAGAGTGGACATCACTCCTCAGGCTTTCACTGCTTAAAACAAAAAGATGGTAAGCTTATCTGGTCCTTGATTTTTTTAGATATTATCCCAATGCTCCACTTAAGTGCCAGGTAATAGTAAATCACATGGTGATGATAACAATACCTGATAATAATAATATTATATCAACTTTCATTTAGTGGCCGCAATCTACCTGAAAAGTTAGATGCTCCTTAACGGTCAATGATCCAATAAACAAGTCTTCCTGTTGGATATATGCTGACAAGGAATTAATCTCAAGGCCAATGGGATGTCCATTCACTTCCACTGTTCCAGTAACTTGGATCTGAGCAATGTTGCGATGTGCTAACACATTCATCAAAGTGGATTTGCCAGCACCACTACGGAACAAGCACAATTATGATTTGAACAAACTACAATGCCTTTGAATCTAGTACTTCTGATGGCTTGAAGCAATATTTTAAGCTATTCTTTAAATATAGTTTAGACACGTTTCGCAAAGAAGAAAATTAAGCTGAAGGTGGGTGTGGCCAAGCCATTAACACCTCAAACTCCAGATCTGGAGGTCCAGGGTTTAAGCCTTGCCCATCACACTGTTCCGTTAGACAAAACTTCACTCCACCTTTTCTGATCTCTTCACCCAGGTGTATAAATGGGTACCGGCGACATACTGCTGGGGGTAACCCTGCGATGGAGTAGCATTTAGTCTAGGGGGGAGTAGCAATACTCCTAGGCATGCTTCATGCTAAGGAAACCGGGATAAGCTACAGCCATCTGGGTTTTTGATTCATGTGCCTTACCCTCACTGCCTAAAACCACAGAAAGAATAGCAAAAGTACAACTCATGGGATGACAACTGCTATTTTAAGAATATTTATAGCTGGTACATCAAATATCTCTTATTTTTTTATTCGCTCAAAATATTTTGCCATTTCCCATGCATAATTCATCACAACCAGGTATTGTCGACCAAATTTGGAAGAATTTTGCAATATTGGACTGATGATGTCAATCATGCAGTAAAATTGACAGATTATTGAACCATTAACCGAGAAGACCTGGGGACAAGTTTGAGTTGTTTTGGTAGTGAGTACAAAGTGGAGGAACATTTTACTCATTTCAGGGCGAACTATTGTCTAAAAACATAGCAAGAGTAGCAAGAGGACAACTCAACAGATGATCTGCTACTTGGAGGACATTATCAGCTCTTTATCTTCTAAACTCTCCGATAAACATGCACTATCAAGATGAACTTATAAACATCGATGGAGACCTGTAAGCATAATTATTGTTTAGCAAGTCTTTAAACCAGGAATTGATTTGCATGAATAATAAAACAATTATTGAATATGGCTTTCATATCATCTGAAGAATTATGGAGTCAGGAGGGTGTTATCCATTTTGGCCTACGGACTCGGCAGATAACATCCTCCTCGATCTGCACAATTCTTCAGATGACACTCAGCCTCACAGGGGCGTAGCTACCTGTTCGTACGCTATGCACATGCATACCTGAAAAAGTCAGAAAAGGGTAAAAAAAATCTAGCCTTTTGCGATGCCTTAATTTGTGAGTAAGCAATGATTGATGTGCGACGAAAAATTTTAAAATTTTAAAGGGGGAAGTGCAGGGGCGGGTGGGGGGGTGGGGGTAGGGATTAAGGAAATTGTGCGTACCTGTGGAAAAATCCTGGCTACGCCCCTGCCTCATTTAATAATCACTAAATATAAATCGTTATTATTTTACATATACCTTGCTCCCATTACAGCCAACAAACTTCCTGCTTCAATTTTGCCATTGACTGTGCAAATGAACAGCAACTCAACATTAAAATCAGTCTCAACAAATAGAAGGGTTACTTTCTAAAGAGCCCCATATTGTGCTTTGTTAACAAGGAAATGAAATGCAACAATTTACAGTAGTTTAAGTGTATGCTTTTTGTATGGCCAAACGGTTAACAATTCCAACTCTGGATCTGGAGGTCTGGAGTTCAAGCCTTGCCTGTCGCTTTGATTCCTTAGACAAGGAAATTTACTCCACTTTGTCTCTCTTCACCCAGTCATACTGCAGTGGGGTAACCCTGTGATGGACTAGCATCCCATCTATAAGCCGGCATGCTACATTTCCTGGGCATCCTTCGATCACGCTAGGGAAACCAGGATTAAAGCTCCTCCCCTTTTTAGGCTTTTGGCTTGTGTGTGCCTTTACCTAGGTAAGTTTGTGAAAGGGATGACTGTAGAATATGCAGTTCCAAAATATATCCATACATACCCCCCACCCCAAACAAGGTATTTGTTCTTTGAATCCCCCTTCCCTGTGAAAATTCCAATTTTGCTTCCTAACATGCTTGCTTAAACTGTCTGAGTCTCTGAGAACCTCCACCTAGAATTTCCGATTTCTACTATGAAGAGGATTTGAATATTTTCAGGAACTAGACAAATGATTCTTGAAAAAGTGGAAATTAATTTTTGAGTGCTCATGCACTAACCTGGGAATCAAGCATTCATGACTAGTGTGCTGGGCACAAGGGAAGGGGGTCCACATTTGCTCCTCATATATTCATACATGGCTTCTACTTTCAGAGGCACTAATGCCTAAAACTCTGGCAGCTATAATTCTTGATGCTTCTGTTACATAGGTTATATCCCACAGGCATTTCGGCACAAATAACCCAGAGTGATCAAGAACATCTCTAATTTATCCAAGCAACACTTGCACCATCAAATAAACATGAAGCAAATGATCACTGATGAATTGGAACATTAGATCTTGGCTCTCAAACTTTGTATGTAACGGGAATCAATTAACAACTCAGCCATTTAGGAGTGGAAGCGGCGGGTGTTAAAAATTAATATGTTAATTAAGTCTTTTATTATCAACCAAGGCACATGAAAACGAAAAAATACGAAACACAAAATCCAAGATCCAAATCACAAAATTAGGAACCATCAGTCCACAAAACTGTTATAAAAATATGTTGCTGCAAAATGAAAATAACTATAATCCTATGACATTTTGATATACTGTATTACATAATCGCTGGTACGTTTTAAATACTGCTTAGTCATGCTAAATTTAACGAAGAAAAGAAAATTATAACCATGAAATAATTGCTTGACGAAAATTTTGACTACACGAAAATTTTGATTGCACCTTCAATTCTGCCGCTGTTCAACTAAACTTAACAGAAAATTTTGGCCATGCAAGTGCATTTATGAGCTGAAAAATTATTTTTCAGCTCATAAATGCACACATGCACTTGCATTTATTAAACAACTTACAAATTATACCGGCAACGAGCGCGAGAGAGGCTAGTTTTTGCTTACCATCAAATAAGATCTGCTTGATTCTAGGCTCATCGTCGTTGTCTCCACAACACAACCGTTTGCAGATAGAAGGTCTGGGTTGAGGAACGAACACATTGATGTTCTTCCAAGACAGTGTTACCTTCTCCCTCAGATCTCCAACGCTTGTCACGTTGGCAATAACATTTGTGCCCGGGCCTTCGTATTTCGTGTTAAAAACCACACCATTACTACCTCCAGTAGCTCCAGGGATTACTGCGCTGGGTGGACTAAACGTTTCCACTGATTCTTCGTGTTCTATAAGCGAAGGGCTTCCCGAGTCCTCCATTCTGGTCTTCTCGACCGCTGGCTCCTTCGACGGGTCTTGGTTCACTGCACAATGGATTTTGTTAGATGTCAAGTCGAGATCACGAAGCATTTGTCACGCTAAGGCTAGTTAAATATTAGCCTAAGCTTATAGTTACCGCTCCCCCGCAATATCGTTGTCACTTTTCGTGATCATGGTTAAAAACAGGTGAATTTTACGATCTCTGCGTCAAAGGCGCAAACAGCACAATAATAAATTACGTAAGCTTGATGATCATACTAGCGTACTCCAAGGATTTATATATTAAACCTAGTAACAAAAAAACTTTGGCACTTGCTAAATCTCTTTTAATTCTTAAAAGGCAACACACGAACAAGCAGCCACAAAAGCCTGAGCTCTGAGACTTGTGAATGACTACGAAACAAAATAAGAGGTATTAATCCAGTTTAAGTTACAAAACTCAAAAACCATCTTAAACTGTGATTTAAAGTTCAATATCAAAGTTTGGAATTATATTATTACAAATAAGCCACTTTTTAAGCCCCTTGGATTTGACTCTTTTTCATAGCTTTTACCTGGAGGATTATTTTCAGGCGGAGGTGCATTCACATCCACAACAGTCCACATCTCCAAATCTACCTCGTCAGCCATGTTTATCTCTGAAAGGCGTCTAATGAACAAAGAACGTGATCAGATGCGCAAGACAGGTACAAAAACGCGATTCCCAGCAGTACCTGTTTTCCATTTTTGCTTTCTTTCTTCCTCTTTTTTGCTATTTTTATTTCTTGATTTTTTATAAATTTACATTGAAAATTTCTAACTTGCAGACAATGAAACGTATATCACTAGAAAACAAACAAAATATACTATATTTTTTACTAAGCAATTCTTTTTCTCGCAATGCATGACTTTGGCCATGACTGGTCATGGCCTAGTGATCAAGATTCAAGTTTTTGTCGTTCTTTCTTTTCAGTGAAACTGTCAACAAGTTGCAAAAATGAAACCCAGTATTCTAGCAAAATGGACAGAATAAGTTTTTCTTTATCCTATACTGTGGTAAAAAGTCATACATTTCTTGAAGCTAAATGATATCATGACTTCACCCATAACTGGTCATGGCTCATTGACAAATAAATCAACCGGCCCAAATTCGTTTTTAAATTTTTTTTTTTTTTTAAAAAAAAAAAAGAAGTTTAAAATGTTGAACTTTCTCAATTTCAAAGTTGTGAAAACTTTGCAAAGAAAAATAGTCCTTTTAAAACAGTGTCGCTTAGTCGAATAAGAGTTCAAACGAAAAATGTGCCTTATCGCAGGTCATGGGCACATGACCCCTTCTTTCCCGGTACTTGATCTCAGTTAAATACATATTTACGCAAGTTTTCTTCGGCGTGATGAATACGAAGAAATGTGAAATTGGCTAACGGCTTGATCAGTCTTCTTTTGAATGTGACTTGTATAATTACTTCTTTTCCTAAATACTTTTAGAAAAACCGAACATTCACCTGTAAGTTTGATAGTGTAACCCGGACTGATAAATTGGCCTACAGCAATGATGAGTTTCCACTTCACAGTTTCTGCTCAGTTCAACATCATTTTTTAAACAACTTGCGAGGACTTTAAACTGATCAAAGTCAACGCGAAGAATTCTTTGCAACTCAGGCACGTTGGTCCTATTTACACCTTACCTTCAAGAAATATACCTTACTTAACTATACGGGAAAAAGGTGGGTGCAACTAAAATACCTAAACCGCAAGTAAATTGACTTGTCGAGACGATGTTATGACCTGTTTTCAATGTTTTTCTCTGACCTTTTTCTGTCTTCCAGCACAAATCGTCGTTTTCTCGAAGTGGGGTTGTTTTTACAGTTATATATAACAATAGTAGGTCCATCGTTTTTCAGACAAAGGGTTGTTGTATATAAAGAGTTGTTATCTATGATATTCATGCATCAGCGTGCAACGAGCTTTGAAACACGCGGCAAGCACGGGAAAAGTCGAAGAGTAGCATGCCCGAGGCGAAAAACACTTCATTTCTGAGAGTACCCTTTCAGAAAATAATGTACCGACAAATGCATGAACCATCTTGATTCATACCACTGCCTTATCGTGGCAGAGGTTTTGTAATAGGGGGCTTATTTCGTTTAAAAAACGTGCAAGTTCATCTTTATTTTTTTATTTATATATAATGAAGTTCAATAAGGGGCAAATTTGACTGGTTAAAAAACGTGCTTTATGAGAGTATAAACACGGTGCTAAACGGTTTTTTTTTAATTAGAAGGTAATGCGTGGGGAATTTAACGGATTCTGTATCAAAACAAATAAAGAAGCTTTGACTGTACATGTACTCCGTTCTGTTGTAAAGCACTTAGGGAGCGGCTGGAGCACAAACGAAGTGTAGAAGGAACGTGGTCGAGTGTTTCTCCCAACGACTTGAGTTTATTTGTTATTCAGTACAATAGTCTCTTCAGCGATCTAGCTTTACAAATCACATAAACCCACATTTGCACGTACGAAAATTCGGTTATTGAAAAACACTTGTAAAACGATCAAGGAAGGTATCGTAATCGTAAACTATTTCTTGAAAATGAAACGAATGGGATCGAGGAAAGGAGTATGTGTATGGCTTTATGGATCAAATTTGCGCAAAAAAAAAAAATGGATAACAATAAAAGAAAAGACTAACCACCATGCAGAATTTAACTCACCAAAGCCAAGGACTTGCTGAAGAGAAAGGTTCATGGCGGTGTCAATTGAGGATCGCGATAAAGGGCTGATTCATGCTCGGCTGGCTTTTTTGTTGTTCTTTGCAATTAGCATGAAAACAATAATAACTTTCAACAGGCAAATGCAGCGGATATACGCGGCGTATGTTGAAATGATTCACCCAAGAAAACTGTTATAGGTTTCTGGTTGTATCGAATAGAGAGCTTTACATTTTAGAACGAGAACGGGTACGAGTGCAAGATTTAAAATTAAAGTTTTTGCTCTTGTTCTCAAAAAAAGAAAAGCACTCCGAAAAGCTTTATTTTACTTTTTTCCACCAAAAAGTTATTTATACTGAAGGAGGTTAAGCCCTCTCCCGATAGCAAAATGATAAAACTTCTTATCGTTTCATAACTTGTTTCCGCCACTATGACATTAGGGACCTTTAAGGTAATGTTACAAGGGACGATTATTCGCAACGACGACTTTTTACACAACACTGCGTTGCAATGTTGGAGCAATGTTGCAACGTTTCGAAATATTTTCGCAACAATGTGTTGCGCGAAAAATCGTCGTTGCAAATCGTTCGGAGTAGTTTTTTTGTGTATTCTCAAATAATAGACACCCCGGATAGTCTCATTGTGCATCTTTTTTTACCAAAAAAATTATTAGTACTGTTATCTTGATTGAAGGAGGTTAATAAAACTATAACACAGTTTATAACTTGTGTCCGCTAACGCGACATTCTGGCTAAAACTCGTAGGTAGGCTTAATGGATAAATTCCGCCGGTAGGATTTCGAGTAGAGTAAGCACTTTTTTAGGCGAGCATTCTGCCGGCAGAATAAGGCATTTTCGAGCAGAATTTGAGCAGAACACTGAGGGAAAATCAGCGTCACAGATGACATGCATACTGACAGTTGTACGAAAAAATTAAAACTAAATTAAAAAACAAATGGAAAATAACTTGTGATTAATTTGATTATTCAATAGCCACAACGCACTCACATTAAAAGTAGGATGAATTGCAATTTTGCTTAGCCTCCCCGCAGACGTCCTTTGGGGTTCGTTCGTAATTCTCAGAGAAATCTGGCCGATATCGGTTAAATGGAGGAACCAGTGTCGTTTTATACCTGGTACTTTTGATGTTCCACTCTAGGTGTTTATACTCCCCGTCCTATAGCTCCCTTACCCCGTCAGACACCTGTCTCAAAATTTTACCAATTGTATATGTGCTATCGTGATAACAGCATTGTTATACGATCGAGTCCATCGATCATTTCGGAAGTCGCAAGTCGCAAGTCGCAAGTCGGAAGACCCTTCTCGGTTTTCGTAGGAACACGATTGCATGATGGTTTGATCAGTAGTCAAGGTCATATTTGATTCAATTCTGGAGCAATCAAAGGCGGTCATACCATTTAAACTGTAAAATTGAACTGCAGTCAAGGTCACTATTTTCAGTTCTGCGTCTGTTTCGAATGTTTTTTTTTAGTATGGGTTTGAGATATTTTAATTAGAGAATTTGAAAAGCATTTGGTTTCGTGGTATCGGTGTCATGGAGGAAGATGCCCCTGCTTTAAAAGTTCTACAGTAGGACCCCGGTTACTTGAACTGGGATAACTGGTGGGAATTCCCCGCTAAGTCCTATGTGACAGTTATTTCCCAAGGATAATTTGACCCCATTTCAGTCAGTTTTACTCTACTGTTAATTCGAACTCGGATAACTCAAATTACACGCTGTCTCGAACTAAATTTCAGTTCCGGCTTAATCAAAATTTATCCCGATAACTCGAATTCTTGCTCACGTACGCCAGCCAACCCATTAGGATCCATTAGTTCCTCTAGTCGCGTAAACGGGAAAAACACTAAAACTAACAAGCAATTAGATCATTTAAAATGAAATGAATACACTACCGTCATTTACAAATTAATTGCCCGCAGATATCATTCCGGATCAGCAGAATAAGAATGTATATTAAATCGTGTTACGGTTTGTCTCAAAATAAGTTAATAATTTGCATTGCGCTGTATACTACTAAAATGCTGAAAAATCAGCTAACGATCATTTTTTATAAGGGCACTCATTGAAACTTCTATGGACCCCGATAAAATAAACCCTCGATAACTCGAATTTTTTGTCGTTTTCCTTCAGAGTTCGAGTTAACGGGGAGGTACTATTGTTCCATTATTGGGTCATTGTCTGTCTTGTCTATTATGTGAGATGAATAGCCAACTTTGTTAATTGGGACGCAAATTAATCTTACTGTAAGTCGAGAATAGCTTCCCCCCAAAATGAAATTTAGACAACTAAATTCAGAATCGTTGTCTCAAAATTCAAACCAAAGTTTATTAGCCCTGGCTATTTCGTGCTAACCCTCGTAAAATAAAGTCTTTACTTACTTACTTACTTACTTACTTACTTACTTACAAAGCAACAATAACTTCGCTCTCACCAGTTTGTGGCCAGACTGCAGGATCAGTGTTTTGGGTATCCCTGTAGCACTAGTTATTTGGGTACGAGGATACCCCAAAACACGGCCGGGATACCAAAATCACTGTGACATCAACTCTGAGGAGGAGAGAGATCTGACGCCATCTCACGATGGTAGACAACTTTCTCACGGCGCCAAAGAAAAAAAATCTGACCTTGAAAATGCTAATCGAATCAAACTGAGCCCTTAGATCACCTTTTTGATTCCGAGTAGAGACGAGCGAGATAAACTTTCCAACGGGTAATACTGTTACCACTATAACTGCATGTGTTGCATATGAATCCAATCAAATATTGTTGAAAAAACACTGCACAATAAATTGGATTGACACAAGTTTACTCGGTGCAAATATGGTGCATAAAAGTGCAAACTAGGGGGAAATCAAAAGCAAAGATGGTAAATACCGCATTTAATTTGCATGCCAGTTTACCTGGGGTTGTAAATTTGAGGACAAATGCGGTATTTAGCATCTTTGCCCTTTATTTAACTGTAGTGTGCACTTTTTCACCAAATTTGCACTAAGTAAATTTGATGCAAATCAATTTTTCGTGCAGTGAAACTTAACCTGCCATGCATAGTGTTTACTTTTGTGCTGAGTTTATAGCTAGATTAGTCTCGTGGGATAAGTCGGGGCGTAAGTCCACGATGGCTGACTATTTTTGGCGTATGTCTGCGTGCGGATTAAAAGATCGAAAACATCTTCATTTCACAACTGCGTTCACATACTCTAATCAGTGATCGATTAGTAGACAATGAAATGGTAAGTGCATATCTTGCTCCACCGTTTGTATGTAGAAAAATAACCCCGGAATTAAGTATTACCCTGGGCGTGGCAGCTTTTCCTACATTTCCTTGCAAGACTTGACGAACCGTTTACAAGAGAAACAAAAAGTTGGCAAGGCGTTTCGATGGTAGGGTCACTCTTTTAGCCGGACCATCTGTTCTTCATATATAGACTTTGACTCGCCCAGCCGAGGCAACTCGGCCTATACCACGCCCCCCCCCCCCCCGCACTATACCTAAAAGAGGTTATTCCTGTATGTGTTAGCGCTATTGTCAGCTCTTGGCTCGGGCAAAGAGGAGAATAAAACTCATTTCACAAGATTTTGCCCTTAGCCTCGTTTTGAAAGTGAGAGTGTGGGTTGGTTTCCGTTGGGGGGAGGGGGAGGGACAACTTCTTTATTTGGCGTAGACGGGTATGTGCCCTGAACAGGGTGTGGCTTTCAGGTTCATAAACAGGGTACTGATATAATTCAATGTCTAGCGTCTTGAAGAGAGTGTCTTTTTGGATCAGAGACCTTTTCAATGAGTGTGAAGCTTGTTTAGGTTAGTGTACTTGTGTGGCACTAACATATTGTTGTGCTCTTCTTTTCTAATCTAAGTCTATGATGTTGATGGGTGACAGTTCGCTCTGACAGTGGGCTACGGCTTTCCCTCGGGGTAGGTAGGGGAGGGGAGGAGGGGAGGCGAATCTTTAACGGTAGAAGTTTGGGTTTATTAGCTCAGTAGATAAAATCAAGATTCTGTAGTGAATTGTTACTCTTTGTACGAGAAAATAACATGACAAGTAAAAAAGGACGAAGCTATAAACAGTTAAAAAATTTGCTCTGAACAAAGAAACGGATTATTTTACAGCTCTCTTTAATAACGCCTCGACTATTGGCAATATGCACAACGCGACGAATTTACAAGCAGACGCGAGACGGCACATAGAAAACGAGAAAGCATCTAATACATTCAGCAGAACCCTAAACTAAGGTAAACAATATAACTATAGCCAACAATTATCATTTGGTGTAAAAAACTGTTACATTCTATAAAATTAAAACTAGAAGCTTCTAGCTAAAAATTAACGGTTTCTCAACACAGCAAAACTTTGTAACCGTTGACATTCGTGCGCAATGAAATTTACTCTGTAAATAATAAAAGCCGTAAAATAACGAACTTGGCTTTCCACCGGGGGAAGGGAAGGAGTTTAAGTTCAACGCTTCATTTAAGTGCGGATCCATTTTTTTTTTCTACGAACAAAGGGCGGAATTTAAATGATAATGATAATAATAAAAAGCAGTATGGAGTTTTAGGTTAAGAAATGGGGAAGGCTTTTCCACGATCACCATGGAAGTTGGCGCATTACTAGGGCTACGAATAACTTAGAAAACTCTCTTTTCATTGGCCTTCGACAATACATGTTTAGGTCATACCGTAAACTGTCGCTTATAATCCCCTCCCCCTCCCCCCGCCAAATTAAGGGCCCTCCAACCTGTAAACAACAACAAAAAATACATCCGATTACAAGCCCCCCTCTAGCTCGAATTATAAGCACCCTCTACGATTTATTTTGACGTTTCGAGGATTAATTTAAAAACCAGTAAATCAGTGCAAAAGGTATTTTGACCAGCACTGCTATAGCTTGTTCCTAAGCACCTGTTTTCTCTTCCAGTTATTCGCCACTTTGAGGTTGCGCGGAAGATCGGGTCGAGATGGTTATCAAAGTGCATTGTGGGACTGTTTTGGGGGACAAATTTGCCGCCACGTTGAAAATGCGTCCCCCAAAACAGTCCCACAGTGCACTTGACAACCATTTCGACCCCAAGTTCCGCGCAACCCCAAAGTGGCCAATAGCCCGACCTCGGATATTAAAGCCCCTCCGTTTAAAACCCCGTACGGAGATGTGTAAGCCCAGCGATCATAAGCAGCAGTTTACTGTATATCTATCGTTTCGTTAGCCAATTAAACAACCAGTTCTGAGAGTTTCCCGCACTTTGCGAATAAGTCGCTTGTGTTTTCTTTTCTACCCGATCTGTGCCATGTGTATACAGGCGGTCCATTCACGTTTTGCCTCCCCTGACTAACAAACCTTATTCTCTGCCTGTTTTTATAGAATCTGCAGCTTCCTTTACTATCTATATCATACTTCCTCAGTCATTGCCTACACACAAATGCTTTGGGGTCGTAAAGGAAAGAAGAAATAAAACTGGGCATCAGTCTCAAAACTTCTTTCAAGATAGCCCACCAAACGCACGTGGTTTTGAAGAGCTTCACAATATCCTGGGTTTTAAGGATATCCGTCCGCTATTTTCCACCGTATGTGGGGTTTTGGAAAGTTGTTGTTGCTTGTTTGAAGATTGGGTTCTCGCCCTGCAACGAAAATGCAGCAAGTTTAAGGAACACAGCGACCTTAAGAACGACTGAACAACAGAGCATCCGTTTTAATTGTCAAATCTCAACTTACGGCGTTTCTTAGTGACAGGGAAGGTCAGTTATCGAGCTTCCCTGAGAGAGCCAACTTTTCAAACGCAAAACTTGCTTAAGAAATCGCTTTGAAGCGTTTGCATGCTAGAGGCGTGAACTTTCTTCAAGGGAGATTCTCAGGACAGCCTTCTAGGGAAGCCACCTTTTTAATTCGCAATGTCAACCGTTCTAGGCAAGTCAGCCCGGGTTCCCCTCTTACCGTATCCCACTGGGCATTCTGTCTTTCCTTTTCAAATTTGGCGAATTCTCTACGGTCCTGGAAAAGAAATACCAAAAAAGCTGTGAGTACGAGGCTTAAATTAAAATGACAGATATATCATCCAGGTGTTAAGACAAACAGAAACGGCTACATCCCAATTCTGTCAAGTTTATGCTAATTCCACCCGGGTCAAACGTCTAAAAGGTCGTTATTTATGTTAATTACTGGGACTTCATTTATCAGTAAGTGAAAAAATTAGCAAAGATGTATAAATCAGTTCGTTGACGTAAGTACCTTTTCACTTTTCTCAAAAATTTCAGCTTTTTTTCGTTGACAACGCTTTGCGCTAAAAGAAAATCATGCTGGAAAATGACGTCGACAATAAAACCAGTTTCAGTTTTCAAACACTTAAAACTTTTTTTAGTAACCTTTTGAAAAGTTACGTAAACCAACAGCGGGTTGGAAATACCTTAAACTTTTGACGATGAAAGTAGCAACCTTAGCTTTGAGGTGCTTCGCTTAGATTTTGCAAATTCCTCTCGTTTGATCGCGGTAAACATGCTACACTGATGCTAATTGCCCACCTGAATAGTAGCGAGTAGTTTCCAAATAAGGAGCAGGGCTAGACCCACACCCAGTACTCCTCCGACAACACCAAGGATGACAGCCAGCGCTTCAGCCTCTTTTGGACAAACTGCGGAAACAAACGGAGTGGATACCGTCAGATGATTTAATTGTACTTGAGGTTAGAAGCAAGTTAACCATTTATGACTTTCTCCTCAGCAGAGGCCTTTTCGTGCCGTAAGGAGGGAAAATGAAAGATCGAGGGGAACGATGGGAAGGGAAAAGAGCGGGAGAGTCAAGAGGCACCCACCCTTTTCCTCTTCCCACGTCCAACGCGCGATTACTATTTATAACTACTACATTGCTAATTACCCAGTGGGAGCCCCTGCGGAGGAGAGCGTCATTTATGAAGCAAGAGGAAATAAAAGACTAAGACAAATCGTTTCACTGATAGACTCAGATCAGAATACAACTGTAGTTCTAATAATCGTGGAGACCGCAACCTTACTGATTTTGGATGGTAGATTGCAATTTTTCTTTTACGTCATTTGGATAAGCTTGACTTTGAGGTCAACAAGCAACGAAAAGA